GTATAGTAGTGTAGTGTATAGTAGTGTAGTGTATAGTGTAGTGTATAGTAGTGTCTAGTGTAGTGTAAAGCAGTGTATAGTGTAGTGTATAGTAGTGTAGTGTACAGTGTAGTGTATAGTGTAGTGTATAGTAGTGTCTACTGTAGTGTATAGTAGTGTATAGTGTAGTGTATAGTAGTGTAGTGTACAGTGTAGTGTATAGTGTAGTGTATAGTGTAGTGTATAGTGTAGTGTATAGTAGTGTAGTGTATAGTAGTGTATAGTGTAGTGTATAGTAGTGTATTGTATAGGAGTGTATAGTGTAGTGTATAGTGTAGTGTATAGTAGTGTATAGTGTAGTGTATAGATAGTGTAGTGTATAGTGTAGTGTATAGTAGTGTATAGTGTAGTGTATAGTGTATAGTAGTGTATAGTGTAGTGTATAGTAGTGTATAGTGTAGTGTATACTGTAGTGTATAGTAGTGTATAGTGTAGTGTATAGTGTGTACAGTGTAGTGTTTAGTGTAGTGTATAGTAGTGTAGTGTGTAGTAGTGCAGTGTATCGTGTAGTGTATAGTGTAGTGTAGTGTATAGTAGTGTAGTGTACAGTGTAGTGTATAGTGTAGTGTATAGGGTAGTGTATAGTATAGTGTAGTGTATAGTGTAGTGTATAGTGTAGTGTACAGTATAGTGTAGTGTATAGTGTAGTGTATAGTGTAGTGTATAGTAGTGTAGTGTATAGTGTAGTGTATAGTGTAGTGTATAGTGTAGTGTATAGTGTAGTGTATAGTAGTGTAGTGTATAGTGTACAGTGTAGTGTATAGTAGTGTAGTGTATAGTGTAGTGTACAGTGTAGTGTAGTGTGTAGTGTACAGTGTATAGTGTAACGGCAGCGACCATCCACTTTGCTACATCTGGTTTACACTCAGGCAGCCGGGATCGAACATTTGACGTCATCACCCTCCGCCCAATAAAGCGGTGGGACTTTGAACATTTGACGTCATCACCCTCCCCCTCAACGCGGTGGGACGTCGAATATTGACGTCATCACGACCCTTTCAGTTTTAACACGGTGGGATGTCGAACATTTGACGTCATCACGCCCGCCATTAACAATTCGGACGTCGGTGGCGTGACGTCATCGCGTTCCGCTCACCCCTGTCAATAACACTGGTGACGTCATCACGCTTCAGCTCGGTGAAATCGCGAAGCCGTGTGATGACGTCACGCCACCGCCACTCACAACAACAACAACACGGCAATGGCCGACGGTGGTGCCGAGTGCAAGCAGCGGTGAGGATGTCTGTGTGTGTGTGTCTGTGTGTGTGTCTGTATGTGTGTCTGTGTGTGTCTGTGTGTTTGTCTGTGTGTGTGTCTGTGTGTCTCTGTGTGTGTCTCTGTGTGTCTCTGTGTGTGTCTCTGTGTGTGTGGCACCTGGGTCTGCCCCGTGATTTCCTGCCAGCGGGCGTTCGACACTTCACGTGGCCTCAGGGTGCACATAGCCTGGCACAAGCGTCGTGGTGACGTCACCGCCACTTAGTGGCGAATGGCGGTTGTTGTTGTTGTCTGTGGTTGTGTCTGTATGTGTGTGTGTGTGTCTGTGTGTGTGTCTGTGTGTGTGTCTGTATGTGTCTGTGTGTGTGTCTGTGTGTGTGTCTGTATGTGTCTGTGTGTGTGTCTGTGTGTGTTTGTGTGTGTGTCTTTGTATGTGTGTGTCTTTGTGTGTGTGTGTCTTTGTGTGTGTCTGTGTGTGTGTGTCTGTCTGTGTGTGTCTGTCTGTGTGTGTCTGTGTGTGTGTCTGTGTGTGTGTTTGTGTGTCTCTGTGTGTGTCTGTGTGTGTGTGTCTGTGTGTGTGTCTGTGTGTGTGTGTGTGTCTGTATGTGTGTCTGTGTGTGTGTCTGTATGTGTGTCTGTGTGTGTCTGTATGTGTCTGTGTGTGTGTGTTTGTGTGTGTGTCTTTGTGTGTGTGTGTCTGTGTGTGTGTCTGTGTGTGTGTGTCTGTGTGTTTGTGTGTGTGTCTTTGTGTCTGTGTTTGTGTGTGTGTGTCTGTGTGTCTATCTGTGTGTGTGTCTGTGTGTGTGTTTGTGTGTCTCTGTGTGTGTCTGTGTGTGTGTCTGTGTGTGTGTATCTGTGTGTGTGTGTCTGTGTGTGTGTCTGTGTGTGTGTCTTGTGTGTGTCTGTATGTGTCTGTGTGTGTGTTTGTGTGTGTGTCTGTATGTGTGTCTGTGTTTGTGTGTGTGTGTGTCTTTGTGTCTGTGTTTGTGTGTGTCTGTGTGTCTGTCTGTGTGTGTCTGTGTGTGTGTCTGTGTGTGTTTGTGTGTCTCTGTGTGTGTCTGTGTGTGTGTCTGTGTGTGTGTATCTGTGTGTGTGTGTGTCTGTGTGTGTGTCTGTGTGTGTGTCTGTATGTGTGTCTGTGTGTGTGTCTTGTGTGTGTCTGTATGTGTCTGTGTGTGTGTGTTTGTGTGTGTGTCTTTGTGTGTGTGTGTCTTTGTGTGTGTCTGTGTGTGTGTCTGTGTGTGCGTCTGTGTGTGTGTCTGTTTGTGTGTGTCTGTGTGTGTGTCTGTGTGTGTGTTTGTGTGTCTGTGTGTGTGTGTCTCTGTGTGTGTCTGTGTGTGTCTGTGTGTGTATGTCTGTGTGTTTGTGTGTGTGTCTTTCTGTCTGTGTTTGTGTGTGTGTGTCTGTGTGTGTGTGTTTGTGTGCCTGTGTGTGTGTGTGTCTCTGTGTGTGTCTGTGTGTGTGTTTGTGTGTGTGTCTTTGTGTGTGTCTGTGTGTGTGTCTGTGTATGTGTATCTGTGTTTGTGTGTGTGTCTGTGTGTCTGTCTGTGTGTCTGTGTGTTTGTGTGTGTGTCTTTGTGTGTGTCTGTGTTTGTGTGTGTGTGTCTGTGTGTGTGTGTCTGTGTGTGGGGGTCTCTCTGGGTCTGTGTGTGTGTGTGTCTGTGTGTGTGTGTGGGTCTCTATGGGTCTGGGTGTCTGTGGGTCTCTATGGGTCTGGGTGTTTGTGGGTCTCTGGGTCTGGGTGTCTATGGGTCTCTATGGGTCTCGGTGTCTGTGGGTCTGGGTGTCTGTGGGTCTCTGTGGGTCTGGGTGTCTGTGGGTCTCTATGGGTCTGAGTGTGTGTGGGTCTCTATGGGTCTGGGTGTCTGTGGGTCTCTGTGAGTCTGGGTGTCTATGGGTCTGTGGGTCTGGGTGTCTGTGTGTCTCTGTGAGTCTGGATGTCTGTGGGTCTGTGGGTCTGGGTGTCTGTGGTTCTCTGTGGGTCTGGGTGTCTGTGAGTCTCTGTGAGTCTGGGTGTCTGTCGGTCTGGGTGTCTGTGGGTCTCTGTGGGTCTGGGTGTGTGTGGGTCTCTGTGAGTCTGAGTGTCTCTTTGGGTGTGGGTCTCTGTTGGTGTCTCTGGATCTATGGGTGTCTTTATGGTTGTGTCTGTGGGTCTGGGTGTGTGTGGGTCTCTGTGGGTCTGGGTGTCTGTGGGTCTCTGTGAGTCTGGGTGTCTGTGTGTGTGGGTCTGTGGGTCTGGGTGTGTGTGGGTCTGGGTGTGTGTGGGTCTCTGAGTCTATGAGTGTCTCTTTGGGTGTGGGTCTCTGTTGGTGTCTCTGGATCTATGGGTGTCTTTATGGGTGTGTCTATGGGTCTGAGTGTGTGTGGGTCTCTATGGGTCTGGGTGTCTGTGGGTCTCTGTGAGTGTGGGTGTCTGTGTGTGTGGGTCTGTGGGTCTGGGTGTGTGTGGGTCTGGGTGTGTGTGGGTCTCTGAGTCTATGAGTGTCTCTTTGGGTGTGGGTCTCTGTTGGTGTCTCTGGATCTATGGGTGTCTTTATGGGTGTGTCTGTGGGTCTGGGTGTGTGTGGGTCTCTGAGTCTATGAGTGTCTCTTTAGGTGTGGGTCTCTGTTGGTGTCTCTGGATCTATGGGTGTCTTTATGGGTGTGTCTGTGGGTCTGGGTGTGTGTGGGTCTCCGTGGGTCTGGGTGTCTGTGGGTCTCTGTGAGTGTGGGTGTCTGTGTGTGTGGGTCTGTGGGTCTGGGTGTGTGTGGGTCTGGGTGTGTGTGGGTCTCTGAGTCTATGAGTGTCTCTTTGGGTGTGGGTCTCTGTTGGTGTCTCTGGATCTATGGGTGTCTTTATGGGTGTGTCTGTGGGTCTGGGTGTGTGTGGGTCTCTGTGGGTCTGGGTGTCTGTGGGTCTCTGTGAGTCTGGGTGTCTGTGTGTGTGGGTCTGTGGGTCTGGGTGTGTGTGGGTCTGGGTGTGTGTCTCTGAGTCTATTAGTGTCTCTTTAGGTGTGGGTCTCTGTTGGTGTCTCTGGATCTATGGGTGTCCTTATGGGTTTGTGTGTGGGTCTGGGTGTGTGTGGGTCTCTGTGGGTCTGGGTGTCTGTGGGTCTCTGTGAGTCTGGGTGTTTGTGTGTGTGGGTCTGTGGGTCTGGGTGTGTGTGGGTCTGGGTGTGTGTGGGTCTCTGTGGGTCTGGGTGTCTGTGGGTCTCTGTGAGTCTGGGTGTCTGTGTGTGTGGGTCTGTGGGTCTGGGTGTGTGTGGGTCTGGGTGTGTGTGGGTCTCTGAGTCTATGAGTGTCTCTTTAGGTGTGGGTCTCTGTTGGTGTCTCTGGATCTATGGGTGTCTTTATGGGTGTGTCCGTGGGTCTGGGTGTGTGTGGGTCTCTGTGGGTCTGGGTGTCTGTGGGTCTCTGTGAGTCTGGGTGTCTGTGTGTGTGGGTCTGTGGGTCTGGGTGTGTGTGGGTCTGGGTGTGTGTCTCTGAGTCTATTAGTGTCTCTTTAGGTGTGGGTCTCTGTTGGTGTCTCTGGATCTATGGGTGTCTTTATGGGTGTGTCTGTGGGTCTCTGTGTATGTCCCTAATGTTGAACTTCTTTCCCACCCTATGTAGCCAACCGCACTAATCAGAGGTGCCTTGGCAAGGACAACAAACTACAGCATCAGTACTATCATCATCAGCAGCATCATCAGCAGTAGCATCAGCAGTCGCATCATCATCACCATCATCAGCACCATCTTCATCAGCAGTAGCATCATCAGCAGTAGCATCATCATCAGCAGTAGCACAATCATCATCAACAGTAGCACCATCATCATCAGCACCATCATCATCATCAGCACCATCATCATCATCAGCAGCAGCAGGCGCCATGAACTGTCGCTCGCAGGAATTTGAGCTCACGTTGGAGCTGAGGCTGGTGGAGGAGGCGGCCCTGGCCATCTTACACACGGTGCTGTTACACCGCACCACCGGTGAGCTAGTGACGAACCAGCCGTGAGTCCCAGACATTAACACTGAACCCTATGGGAGTCTCAGAGAGTAACACTGAACCCTATGGGAGCCCCAGTGATTAACACTGAACCGTATGGGATGCCCCAGTGATTAACACTGAACCCTATGTGAGTCCCAGACATTAACACTGAACCCTATGGGAGTCTCAGAGAGTAACACTGAACCCTATGGGAGCCCCAGTGATTAACACTGAACCGTATGGGATGCCCCAGTGATTAACACTGAACCCTACGGGAGCCCCAGTGATTAACAGTGAACCCTATGGGAGCCCCAGTGATTAACAGTGAACCCTACGGGAGCCCCAGTCATTAACACTGAACCCTACGGGAGCCCCAGACATTAACACTGAACCCTATGGGAGCCCCAGACATTAACACTGAACCCTATGGGAGCCCCAGTGATTAACACTGGACACTGTGGGAGCCCCAGTGATTAACACTGAACCCTATGGGAGCACCAGTGATTAACACTGAACCCTATGGGAGCCCCAGTGATTAACACTGACACCTATGGGAGCCCCAGTGATTAACACTGAACCCTATGGGAGCCCCAGTGATTAACACTGAACCCTATGGGAGCCCCAGTGATTAACACTGAACCTTATGGGAGCCCCAGTGATTAACACTGAACCCTATGGGAGCCCCAGTGATTAACACTGAACCCTATGGGAGCCCCAGTGATTAACACTGAACCCTATGGGAGCCCCAGTGATTAACACTGAACCCTATGGGAGCCCCAGTGATTAACACTGAACCCTATGGGAGCCCCAGTGATTAACACTGAACCCTACGGGAGCCCCAGTGATTAACACTGAACCCTACGGGAGCCCCAGTGATTAACACTGAACCCTATTGGAGCCCCAGTGATTAACACTGAACCCTATGGGAGCCCCAGTGATTAACACTGAACCCTATGGGAGCCCCAGTGATTAACACTGAACCCTACGGGAGCCCCAGTGATTAACACTGAACCCTACGGGAGCCCCAGTGATTAACACTGAACCCTATTGGAGCCCCAGTGATTAACACTGAACCCTATGGGAGCACCAGTGATTAACACTGAACCCTATGGGAGCCCCAGTGATTAACACTGAACCCTATTGGAGCCCCAGTGATCAACACTGAACCTTATGGGAGCCCCAGTGATTAACACTGAACCCTATTGGAGCCCCAGTGATTAACAATGAACCCTATGGGAGCCCCAGTGATTAACACTGAACCCTGTGGGAGCCCCAGTGATTAACACTGAACCCTACGGGAGCCCCAGTGATTAACACTGAACCCTATGGGAGCCCCAGTGATTAACACTGAACCCTATGGGAGCCCCAGTGATTAACAGTGAACCCTATGGGAGCCCCAGTGATTAACACTGAACCCTATGGGAGCCCCAGTGATTAACACTGAACCCTATGGGAGCCCCAGTGATTAACACTGACACCTATGGGAGCCCCAGTGATTAACACTGAACCCTATGGGAGCCCCAGTGATTAACACTGAACCTTATGGGAGCCCCAGTGATTAACACTGAACCCTATGGGAGCCCCAGTGATTAACACTGAACCCTATGGGAGCCCCAGTGATTAACACTGAACCCTATGGGAGCCCCAGTGATTAACACTGAACCCTATGGGAGCCCCAGTGATTAACACTGAACCCTATGGGAGCCCCAGTGATTAACACTGAACCCTATGGGAGCCCCAGTGATTAACACTGAACCCTATGGGAGCCCCAGTGATTAACACTGAACCCTATGGGAGCCTCAGTGATCAACACTGAACCCTATGGGAGCCCCAGTGATCAACACTGAACCCTACGGGAGCCCCAGTGATTAACACTGAACCCTATGGGAGCACCAGACATTAACACTGAACCCTATGGGAGCCCCAGTGATTAACACTGAACCCTACGGGAGCCCCAGTGATTAACACTGAACCCTATTGGAGCCCCAGTGATTAACACTGAACCCTATGGGAGCCCCAGTGATTAACACTGAACCCTATGGGAGCACCAGTGATTAACACTGAACCCTATGGGAGCCCCAGTGATTAACACTGAACCCTATGGGAGCCCCAGTGATCAACACTGAACCCTATGGGAGCCCCAGACATTAACACTGAACCCTATGGGAGCCTCAGTGATCAACACTGAACCCTATGGGAGCCCCAGTGATCAACACTGAACCCTACGGGAGCCCCAGTGATTAACACTGAACCCTATGGGAGCACCAGACATTAACACTGAACCCTATGGGAGCCCCAGTGATTAACACCTGAACCCTATGGGAGCCCCAGACATTAACACTGAACCGTATGGGAGCCCCAGACATTAACACTGAACCCTATGGGAGCCCCAGTGATTAACACTGAACCCTATTGGAGCCCCAGTGATTAACACTGAACCCTATGGGAGCCCCAGTAATTAACAGTGAACCCTACGGGAGGCAGGGTAGTCTGAGTCCGTGTGCCCCCCTGGCAGGGCGCTTCTCGTATCAGCGGGAGGGGACCTACTCTGTGGGAGCCATCGGCTGCTGTGACGTGGACTGCGAGCGGCTGGGTAGCACTTACGTACGTGTAGCCAGCGCCAGCCTGGACCGCTCCCTACGCAGCGCTGTTACAGCCTTCACTGTGAGTTACTGCTACACTCACTACTACTACACTAGTACTACACTACTACTACACTAGTACTACTACACTCACTACGTACGTGTAGCCAGCGCCAGCCTGGACCGCTCCCTACGCAGCGCTGTTACAGCCTTCACTGTGAGTTACTGCTACACTCACTACTACTACACTAGTACTACACTACTACTACACTACTACTACACTAGTACTACTACACTCACTACGTACGTGTAGCCAGCGCCAGCCTGGACCGCTCCCTACGCAGCGCTGTCACAGCCTTCACTGTGAGTTACTGCTACACTCACTACTACTACTAGTACATTACTACTACACTACTACTAGTACTACTGCTACTACACTAGTACTAGTACACTACTACTACACTCACTACACTACTACTACACTACTACTACACTCACTACGTACGTGTAGCCAGCGCCAGCCTGGCCCGCTCCCTACGAAGCGCTGTTACAGCCTTCACTGTGAGTTACTGCTACACTCACTACTACTACACTAGTACTACACTAGTACTACTACACTACTACTACACTAGTACTACTACACTAGTACTACACTAGTACTACTACACTACTACTCCACTAGTACTACTACACTAGTACTACACTACTATTACACTACTACTACACTACTATTACACTCACTACACTACTACTACACTACTACTACACTAGTACTACTACACTACTACTACACTACTACTACTACACTCACTACTACTACACTAGTACTACTACAACTACACTAGTACTACACTACTACACTCACTACTACTACACTAGTACTACTACACTCACTACGTACGTGTAGCCAGCGCCAGCCTGGACCGCTCCCTACGCAGCGCTGTTACAGCCTTCACTGTGAGTTACTGCTACACTCACTACTACTACACTAGTACTACACTACTACTACACTACTACTACTAGTACACTACTACTAGTACTAGTACACTACTACTACACTAGTACTACACTACTACTACACTACTACTACACTACTACTACTACACTACTACTACACTACTACACTACTACTACACTACTACTAGTACTACTACACTACTACTACACTACTAGTACTACTACACTACTGCTACTACACTACTACTACTACACTACTACACTACTACTACACTACTACTACTAGTACTACACTACTACTACACTCACTACTACACTACTACTACACTACTACACTCACTACTACTACACTACTACTACTACTACACTACTACTACTACACTCACTACTACTACACTACTACTAGTACTACTACACTACTACACTCACTACTACTACACTACTACACTACTACTACACTAGTACTACTACACTCACTAGTACTACACTACTAGTACTACTACACTACTACACTACTACTACACTCACTACTACTACACTACTACTACTACACTACTACTACTAGTACTACTACTACACTCACTACTACTACACTACTACTACACTACTACTAGTACTACTACTACACTACTACTACTACACTACTACTACTACACTCACTACTACTACACTACTACTACTACACTCACTACTACACTATCTCTGTCTTTGTGTCTCTATCTCTGTGTGTCTCTGTCTCTCTTTCTATCTCTCTGTGTCTCTCACTGTCTGTCTCTGTGTGTCTCTCTGTCTCTCTGTCTGTCTCTCTGTCTCTGTGTGTGTCTCTGTCTCTAGGACGCCCTCAGGGCTTGCGAGGCTGCTGCAGGAGTGGGTGTTGTTGTGTGTGGCACTCTCTCGCTGGAGTTCTATCTCTTGTCTCTCTGTCTCTCTGTGTGTCTCTGTCTCTCTGTGTGTCTCTCACTATCTGTCTCTTTGTGTGTCTCTCTGTGTGTCTCTGTCTCTCACTCACTGTCTCTAGGACGCCCTCAGGGCTTGCGATGCCTCTGCAGGAGTGGGTGTTGTTGTGTGTGTGGCACTCTCTCGCTGGAGTTCTATCTCTTGTCTCTCTGTCTCTCTTTGTGTCTGTGTCTCTCTGTGTGTGTGTCTCTGTCTCTCTGTCTCTCTGTGTGTGTCTCTAGGATGCCCTCAGGGCTTGCGAGGCCTCTGCAGGAGTGGGTGTTGGTGTGTGTGGGACTCTCTCGCTGGAGTTCTATCTCTTGTCTCTCTGTCTCTCTGTGTGTCTCTCTGTGTCTCTGTCTCTCTGTGTGTGTCTCTGTCTCTCTGTGTGTCTCTGTTTGTGTCTCTGTGTGTCTCTAGGATGCCCTCAGGGCTTGCGAGGCCTCTGCAGGAGTGGGTGTTGGTGTGTGTGGGACTCTCTCGCTGGAGTTCTATCTCTTGTCTCTCTGTCTCTCTGTGTGTCTCTGTCTCTCTGTGTGTGTGTCTCTGTCTCTCTGTCTCTGTGTGTGTGTCTCTAGGACGCCCTCAGGGCTTGCGAGGCCTCTGCAGGAGTGGGTGTTGGTGTGTGCGGGACGCTCTCGCTGGAGTTCTATCTCTTGTCTCTCTGTCTCTCTGTGTGTCTCTCTGTGTCTCTGTCTCTCTGTGTGTGTCTCTGTCTCTCTGTGTGTCTCTGTTTGTGTCTCTGTGTGTCTCTAGGACGCCCTCAGGGCTTGCGAGGCCTCTGCAGGAGTGGGTGTTGGTGTGTGCGGGACGCTCTCGCTGGAGTTCTATCTCTTGTCTCTCTGTGTGTGTCTCTGTCTCTCTGTGTGTCTCTGTGTGTCTCTGTCTCTCTGTGTGTCTCTGTGTGTGTGTCTCTAGGACGCCCTCAGGGCTTGCGAGGCCTCTGCAGGAGTGGGTGTTGGTGTGTGTGGGACTCTCTCGCTGGAGTTCTATCTCTTGTCTCTCTGTGTGTGTCTCTGTCTCTCTGTGTGTCTCTGTGTGTCTCTGTCTCTCTGTGTGTCTCTGTGTGTGTGTCTCTAGGACGCCCTCAGGGCTTGCGAGGCCTCTGCAGGAGTGGGTGTTGGTGTGTGTGGGACTCTCTCGCTGGAGTTCTATCTCTTGTCTCTCTGTCTCTCTGTCTCTCTGTGTGTGTGTCTCTGTCTCTCTGTCTCTCTGTGTGTGTCTCTGTCTCTCTGTCTCTCTGTGTGTGTCTCTAGGACGCCCTCAGGGCTTGCGAGGCCTCTGCAGGAGTGGGTGTTGGTGTGTGTGGGACGCTCTCGCTGGAGTTCTATCTCTTGTCTCTCTGTCTCTGTGTGTGTGTGTCTCTGTCTCTCTGTCTCTCTGTGTGTGTCTCTAGGACGCCCTCAGGGCTTGCGAGGCCTCTGCAGGAGTGGGTGTTGGTGTGTGCGGGATGCTCTCGCTGGAGTTCTATCTCTTGTCTCTCTGTCTCTCTGTGTGTGTGTCTCTGTCTCTCTGTCTCTCTGTGTGTCTCTCTAGGACGCCCTCAGGGCTTGCGAGGCCTCTGCAGGAGTGGGTGTTGGTGTGTGTGGGACTCTCTCGCTGGAGTTCTATCTCTTGTCTCTCTGTCTCTCTGTCTGTCTCTCTGTGTGTGTCTCTGTGTGTCTCTCTGTCTCTCTGTGTGTGTCTCTAGGACGCCCTCAGGGCTTGCGAGGCCTCTGCAGGAGTGGGTGTTGGTGTGTGTGGGACGCTCTCGCTGGAGTTCTATCTCTTGTCTCTCTGTCTCTCTGTCTCTCTGTGTGTGTGTCTCTGTCTCTCTGTGTGTGTCTCTAGGACGCCCTCAGGGCTTGCGAGGCCTCTGCAGGAGTGGGTGTTGGTGTGTGTGGGACGCTCTCGCTGGAGTTCTATCTCTTGTCTCTCTGTCTCTCTGTCTCTGTGTGTGTCTCTGTCTCTCTGTGTGTCTCTGTGTGTCTCTAGGACGCCCTCAGGGCTTGCGAGGCCTCTGCAGGAGTGGGTGTTGGTGTGTGTGGCACTCTCTCGCTGGAGTTCTATCTCTTGTCTCTCTGTCTCTCTGTGTGTGTGTCTCTGTCTCTTTGTGTGTGTCTCTAGGACGCCCTCAGGGCTTGCGAGGCCTCTGCAGGAGTGGGTGTTGGTGTGTGTGGGATGCTCTCGCTGGAGTTCTATCTCTTGTCTCTCTGTCTCTCTGTCTCTGTGTGTGTCTCTGTCTCTCTGTGTGTCTCTGTGTGTCTCTAGGACGCCCTCAGGGCTTGCGAGGCCTCTGCAGGAGTGGGTGTTGGTGTGTGTGGCACTCTCTCGCTGGAGTTCTATCTCTTGTCTCTCTGTCTCTCTGTCTCTGTGTGTGTCTCTGTCTCTCTGTGTGTCTCTGTGTGTCTCTAGGACGCCCTCAGGGCTTGCGAGGCCTCTGCAGGAGTGGGTGTTGGTGTGTGTGGGACGCTCTCGCTGGAGTTCTATCTCTTGTCTCTCTGTCTCTCTGTCTCTGTGTGTGTCTCTGTCTCTCTGTGTGTCTCTGTGTGTCTCTAGGACGCCCTCAGGGCTTGCGAGGCCTCTGCAGGAGTGGGTGTTGGTGTGTGTGGCACTCTCTCGCTGGAGTTCTATCTCTTGTCTCTCTGTCTCTCTGTCTCTCTGTGTGTGTGTCTCTGTCTCTCTGTGTGTGTCTCTAGGACGCCCTCAGGGCTTGCGAGGCCTCTGCAGGAGTGGGTGTTGGTGTGTGTGGGACGCTCTCGCTGGAGTTCTATCTCTTGTCTCTCTGTCTCTCTGTCTCTGTGTGTGTCTCTGTCTCTCTGTGTGTCTCTGTGTGTCTCTAGGACGCCCTCAGGGCTTGCGAGGCCTCTGCAGGAGTGGGTGTTGGTGTGCGTGGCACTCTCTCGCTGGAGTTCTATCTCTTGTCTCTCTGTCTCTCTGTCTCTGTGTGTGTCTCTGTGTGTCTCTGTGTGTTTCTAGGACGCCCTCAGGGCTTGCGAGGCCTCTGCAGGAGTGGGTGTTGGTGTGTGTGGGACTCTCTCGCTGGAGTTCTATCTCTTGTCTCTCTGTCTCTCTGTGTGTGTCTCTAGGACGCCCTCAGGGCTTGCGAGGCCTCTGCAGGAGTGGGTGTTGGTGTGTGTGGGACGCTCTCGCTGGAGTTCTATCTCTTGTCTCTCTGTCTCTCTGTCTCTGTGTGTGTCTCTGTGTGTCTCTGTGTGTCTCTGTGTGTCTCTAGGACGCCCTCAGGGCTTGCGAGGCCTCTGCAGGAGTGGGTGTTGGTGTGTGTGGGACTCTCTCGCTGGAGTTCTATCTCTTGTCTCTCTGTCTCTCTGTGTGTGTCTCTAGGACGCCCTCAGGGCTTGCGAGGCCTCTGCAGGAGTGGGTGTTGGTGTGTGTGGCACTCTCTCGCTGGAGTTCTATCTCTTGTCTCTCTGTCTCTCTGTCTCTGTGTGTGTCTCTGTCTCTCTGTGTGTCTCTGTGTGTCTCTAGGACGCCCTCAGGGCTTGCGAGGCCTCTGCAGGAGTGGGTGTTGGTGTGTGTGGCACTCTCTCGCTGGAGTTCTATCTCTTGTCTCTCTGTCTCTCTGTGTGTGTGTCTCTGTCTCTCTGTGTGTGTCTCTAGGACGCCCTCAGGGCTTGCGAGGCCTCTGCAGGAGTGGGTGTTGGTGTGTGTGGGACGCTCTCGCTGGAGTTCTATCTCTTGTCTCTCTGTCTCTCTGTCTCTGTGTGTGTCTCTGTCTCTCTGTGTGTCTCTGTGTGTCTCTAGGACGCCCTCAGGGCTTGCGAGGCCTCTGCAGGAGTGGGTGTTGGTGTGCGTGGCACTCTCTCGCTGGAGTTCTATCTCTTGTCTCTCTGTCTCTCTGTCTCTGTGTGTGTCTCTGTGTGTCTCTGTGTGTCTCTAGGACGCCCTCAGGGCTTGCGAGGCCTCTGCAGGAGTGGGTGTTGGTGTGTGTGGGACTCTCTCGCTGGAGTTCTATCTCTTGTCTCTCTGTCTCTCTGTGTGTGTCTCTAGGACGCCCTCAGGGCTTGCGAGGCCTCTGCAGGAGTGGGTGTTGGTGTGTGTGGGACGCTCTCGCTGGAGTTCTATCTCTTGTCTCTCTGTCTCTCTGTCTCTGTGTGTGTCTCTGTGTGTCTCTGTGTGTCTCTGTGTGTCTCTAGGACGCCCTCAGGGCTTGCGAGGCCTCTGCAGGAGTGGGTGTTGGTGTGTGTGGGACGCTCTCGCTGGAGTTCTATCTCTTGTCTCTCTGTCTCTCTGTCTCTGTGTGTGTCTCTGTCTCTCTGTGTGTCTCTGTGTGTCTCTAGGACGCCCTCAGGGCTTGCGAGGCCTCTGCAGGAGTGGGTGTTGGTGTGTGTGGCTCTCTCTCGCTGGAGTTCTATCTCTTGTCTCTCTGTCTCTCTGTCTCTCTGTGTGTGTGTCTCTGTCTCTCTGTGTGTGTCTCTAGGACGCCCTCAGGGCTTGCGAGGCCTCTGCAGGAGTGGGTGTTGGTGTGTGTGGGACGCTCTCGCTGGAGTTCTATCTCTTGTCTCTCTGTCTCTCTGTCTCTGTGTGTGTCTCTGTCTCTCTGTGTGTCTCTGTGTGTCTCTAGGACGCCCTCAGGGCTTGCGAGGCCTCTGCAGGAGTGGGTGTTGGTGTGCGTGGCACTCTCTCGCTGGAGTTCTATCTCTTGTCTCTCTGTCTCTCTGTCTCTGTGTGTGTCTCTGTGTGTCTCTGTGTGTCTCTAGGACGCCCTCAGGGCTTGCGAGGCCTCTGCAGGAGTGGGTGTTGGTGTGTGTGGGACTCTCTCGCTGGAGTTCTATCTCTTGTCTCTCTGTCTCTCTGTGTGTGTCTCTAGGACGCCCTCAGGGCTTGCGAGGCCTCTGCAGGAGTGGGTGTTGGTGTGTGTGGCACTCTCTCGCTGGAGTTCTATCTCTTGTCTCTCTGTCTCTCTGTGTGTGTGTCTCTGTCTCTCTGTGTGTGTCTCTAGGACGCCCTCAGGGCTTGCGAGGCCTCTGCAGGAGTGGGTGTTGGTGTGTGTGGGACGCTCTCGCTGGAGTTCTATCTCTTGTCTCTCTGTCTCTCTGTCTCTGTGTGTGTCTCTGTCTCTCTGTGTGTCTCTGTGTGTCTCTAGGACGCCCTCAGGGCTTGCGAGGCCTCTGCAGGAGTGGGTGTTGGTGTGTGTGGCACTCTCTCGCTGGAGTTCTATCTCTTGTCTCTCTGTCTCTCTGTCTCTCTGTGTGTGTGTCTCTGTCTCTCTGTGTGTGTCTCTAGGACGCCCTCAGGGCTTGCGAGGCCTCTGCAGGAGTGGGTGTTGGGGTGTGTGGGACGCTCTCGCTGGAGTTCTATCTCTTGTCTCTCTGTCTCTCTGTCTCTGTGTGTGTCTCTGTCTCTCTGTGTGTCTCTGTGTGTCTCTAGGACGCCCTCAGGGCTTGCGAGGCCTCTGCAGGAGTGGGTGTTGGTGTGCGTGGCACTCTCTCGCTGGAGTTCTATCTCTTGTCTCTCTGTCTCTCTGTCTCTGTGTGTGTCTCTGTGTGTCTCTGTGTGTCTCTAGGACGCCCTCAGGGCTTGCGAGGCCTCTGCAGGAGTGGGTGTTGGTGTGTGTGGGACTCTCTCGCTGGAGTTCTATCTCTTGTCTCTCTGTCTCTCTGTGTGTGTCTCTAGGACGCCCTCAGGGCTTGCGAGGCCTCTGCAGGAGTGGGTGTTGGTGTGTGTGGGACGCTCTCGCTGGAGTTCTATCTCTTGTCTCTCTGTCTCTCTGTCTCTGTGTGTGTCTCTGTGTGTCTCTGTGTGTCTCTGTGTGTCTCTAGGACGCCCTCAGGGCTTGCGAGGCCTCTGCAGGAGTGGGTGTTGGTGTGTGTGGGACTCTCTCGCTGGAGTTCTATCTCTTGTCTCTCTGTCTCTCTGTGTGTGTCTCTAGGACGCCCTCAGGGCTTGCGAGGCCTCTGCAGGAGTGGGTGTTGGTGTGTGTGGCACTCTCTCGCTGGAGTTCTATCTCTTGTCTCTCTGTCTCTCTGTGTGTGTGTCTCTGTCTCTCTGTGTGTGTCTCTAGGACGCCCTCAGGGCTTGCGAGGCCTCTGCAGGAGTGGGTGTTGGTGTGTGTGGGACGCTCTCGCTGGAGTTCTATCTCTTGTCTCTCTGTCTCTCTGTCTCTGTGTGTGTCTCTGTCTCTCTGTGTGTCTCTGTGTGTCTCTAGGACGCCCTCAGGGCTTGCGAGGCCTCTGCAGGAGTGGGTGTTGGTGTGCGTGGCACTCTCTCGCTGGAGTTCTATCTCTTGTCTCTCTGTCTCTCTGTCTCTGTGTGTCTCTGTGTGTCTCTGTGTGTCTCTAGGACGCCCTCAGGGCTTGCGAGGCCTCTGCAGGAGTGGGTGTTGGTGTGTGTGGGACTCTCTCGCTGGAGTTCTATCTATTGTCTCTCTGTCTCTCTGTGTGTGTCTCTAGGACGCCCTCAGGGCTTGCGAGGCCTCTGCAGGAGTGGGTGTTGGTGTGTGTGGGACGCTCTCGCTGGAGTTCTATCTCTTGTCTCTCTGTCTCTCTGTCTCTGTGTGTGTCTCTGTGTGTCTCTGTGTGTCTCTGTGTGTCTCTAGGACGCCCTCAGGGCTTGCGAGGCCTCTGCAGGAGTGGGTGTTGGTGTGTGTGGGACTCTCTCGCTGGAGTTCTATCTCTTGTCTCTCTGTCTCTCTGTGTGTGTCTCTAGGACGCCCTCAGGGCTTGCGAGGCCTCTGCAGGAGTGGGTGTTGGTGTGTGTGGGACGCTCTCGCTGGAGTTCTATCTCTTGTCTCTCTGTCTCTCTGTCTCTGTGTGTGTCTCTGTCTCTCTGTGTGTCTCTGTGTGTCTCTAGGACGCCCTCAGGGCTTGCGAGGCCTCTGCAGGAGTGGGTGTTGGTGTGTGTGGGACTCTCTCGCTGGAGTTCTATCTCTTGTCTCTCTGTCTCTCTGTGTGTCTCTCTGTGTCTCTGTCTCTCTGTGTGTGTCTCTAGGACGCCCTCAGGGCTTGCGAGGCCTCTGCAGGAGTGGGTGTTGGTGTGTGTGGCACTCTCTCGCTGGAGTTTTATCAGCGTAAGCGCTGCCGCTGGCCCTTCCCTGATGAATGTGCCCCCTGGGAGGTGTGGACCCTGCGGGTGAACCTCGTCACGGCCTCCAGTGAGCACGAACGCCTGGTGGGTTCATCATGAAAGTGTTTTTTTTGGGGGGGTTAGATCGCGTTTATTTATAAATGTGTCGTAACCCTCCACCACCCGACACGGCCAATCAGCAAAAAAAAAAGTGTCACGTTGACAAAAAGACAAAAATAGTTCACTACTTTAGCCCCTCGCCGGTGTGTTGTTGAAGAGTGAATCCACAACATTTACAGTTTGAGTTGTACTGTGACGTTTCGATGGTAAATACATCCAGCATCATCATCGGGCAATTCGCCAGAATGGTAAAGTCCTCTCCACTTGCTCCCGGTCTTAAATAGAACAGCAGCAGGGTGACGTCATCACTTAACTCATATCAGGTGCAGTGATTAGAGGCGGAGGGGGGGGTATTGTAATTATAAAATCGATTGGTAATCAGTCAATGGTGGGTTCACCATGGCCAGCTTCACCATGGCCAGGTTCACCATGGCCAGGTTCACTGTGTAGTGTTCACCATGGCCAGGTTCACCATGGCCAGGTTCACCATGGCCAGGTTCACCATGGCCAGGTTCACCATGGTCAGGTGACTGTGTCATGTTCACCATGACCAGGTTCATCATGGCCAGGTTCACTGTGTAGTGTTCACCATGGCCAGGTTCACTGTGTAGTGTTCACCATGGCCAGGTTCACTGTGTAGTGTTCACCATGACCATGTTCACCATGGCCAGGTTCACCGTGGCCAGGTTCACTGTGTAGTGTTCACCATGACCATGTTCACCATGGCCAGGTTCACCATGGCCAGGTTCACCATGGTCAGGTGACTGTGTCATGTTCACCATGACCAGGTTCACCATGGCCAGGCTCACTGTGTAGTGTTCACCATGGCCAGGTTCACCATGGCCAGGTTCACCATGGCCAGGTTCACCATGGCCAGGTTCACCATGGCCAGGTTCACTGTGTAGTGTTCACCATGGTCAGGTTCACCATGGCCAGGTTCACCATGGCCAGGTTCACTGTGTAGTGTTCACCATGGCCAGGTTCACCATGGCCAGGTTCACTGTGTAGTGTTCACCATGGCCAGGTTCACCATGGCCAGGTTCACTGTCTAGTGTTCACCATGGCCAGGTTCACCATGGCCAGGTTCACTGTGTAGTGTTCACCATGGCCAGGTTCACTGTGTAGTGTTCACCATGGCCAGGTTCACCATGGCCAGGTTCACCATGGCCAGGTTCACTGTGTAGTGTTCACCATGACCATGTTCACCATGGTCAGGTTCACCATGGCCAGGTTCACCGTGGCCAGGTTCACTGTGTTGTGTTCACCATGGCCAGTTTCACCATGGCCAGGTTCACCATGGCCAGGTTCACCATGGCCAGGTTCACTGTCTAGTGTTCACCATGGTCAGGTTCACCATGGCCAGGTTCACTGTCTAGTGTTCACCATGGCCAGGTTCATCATGGCCAGGTTCACTGTCTAGTGTTCACCATGGTCAGGTTCACTGTGTAGTGTTCACCATGGCCAGGTTCACCATGGCCAGGTTCACTGTGTAGTGTTCACCATGGCCAGGTTCACCATGGCCAGGTTCACTGTCTAGTGTTCACCATGGTCAGGTTCACTGTGTAGTGTTCACCATGGCCAGGTTCACCATGGCCAGGTTCACTGTGTAGTGTTCACCATGGCCAGGTCTCCTCTCTCCCCTCTCTATAACTCCCCCCACCCCCTGTCTCTCCCCGTGTCTCTGTCCCCGTGTCTCTCTCCCCGTGTCTCTCTCTCTCCTCTGTCTCTCCCCGTGTCTCTCTCCCCGTGTCTCTATCCCCGTGTGTCTCTCCCCGTGTCTCTGTCCCCGTGACTCTCTCCCCGTGTCTCTCTCCCGGTGTCTCTGTCCCCATGTCTCTCTCTGTCTCTCCCCGTGTCTCCCCGTATCTCTCTCCCCGTGTCTCTCTCCCTGTGTCTCTCTCCCCGTGTCTCTCTCTCCCCGTGTCTCCCCCCCGTGTCTCTCTCCCCGTGTGTCCCCGTGTGTCTCTCTCTCCGTGTCTCTCTCCCCGTGTGTCCCCGTGTCTCTCTCTCCCCGTGTCTCTCCCCGTGTCTCTCTCCCCGTGTCTCTCTCCCCGTGTCTCTCTCCCCGTGTCTCTCTCCCTGTCTCTCTCTCCCTCTCTCTCTCCCCGTGTCTCTGTCCCCGTCTCTCTCTCTCCCCGTGTGTCACTCTCCCCGTGTCTCTCTTTCCCCGTGTCTCTCTCTCCCCGTGTCTCTCTCTCCCTCTCTCTCTCACCGTGTCTCTGTCCCCGTCTCTCTCTCTCCCCGTGTGTCACTCTCCCCGTGTCTCTCTTTCCCCGTGTCTCTCTCTCCCCGTGTCTCTCTCTCCCCGTGTCTCTATCTCCCCGTGTGTCCCCGTGTCTCTCCCCATGTCTCTCCCCGTGTCTCTCTCCCTCTCTCTCTCCCCGTGTCTCTGTCCCCGTCTCTCTCTCTCCCCGTGTCTCTCTCTTCCCGTGTCTCTCTCTCCCCGTGTCTCTCTCCCTCCCCATGTCTCCCTCTCTCTCTCTCTCCTCGTGGTGTCTCTCTCCCCGTGTCTCTCTCTCCACGTGTCTCTCTCTCCGTGTCTCTCTCTCCCCCTGTCTCTCTCCCCGTGTCTCTCTCCCCGTGTCTCCCCGTGTCTCTCTCTCCCCGTGTCTCTCTCCGTGTCTCTCTCCCCGTGTCTCTCTCTCCCCGCGTCTCTCTCTCCCCGTGGTGTCTCTCTCTCCCCGTGTCTCTCTCCCCGTGTCTCTCCCCGTGTCTCTCTCTCCCCGTGGTGTCTCTCTCTCCCCGTGGTGTCTCTCCCCCCCCGTGTCTCTCTCTCCCCGTGGTGTCTCTCTCTCTCCCCGTGTCTCTCCCCATGTCTCTCCCCGTGTCTCTCCCCGCGTCTCTCTCTCTCTCCCCCCGTGTCTCTCTCTCCCCGTGTCTCTCTCTCCCCGTGGTGTCTCTCTCTCCCCGTGTCTCTCTCTCTCCCCGTGTCTCTCTCTCCCGTGTCTCTCTCTCTCCGTGTCTCTCTCTCCCGTGTCTCTCTCTCCCCGTGTCTCTCTCTCCCCGTGGTGTCTCTCTCTCCCCGTGTCTCTCTCTCCCCCCATGTCTCTCCCCGTGTCTCTCTCTCCCCATCTCTCTCTCTCTCCCCGTGTCTCTCTCTCTCTCCCCGTGTCTCTCTCTCCCCGTGTCTCTCCCCGTGTCTCTCTCTCCCCATCTCTCTCTCTCCCTCCCCGTGTCTCTCTCTCTCCCCGTGGTGTCTCTCTCTCCCCGTGTCTCTCTCTCCCCATGTCTCTCCCCATGTCTCTCCCCGCGTCTCTCCCCATGTCTCTCCCCATGTCTCTCCCCATGTCTCTCCCCATGTCTCTCCCCATGTCTCTCCCCATGTCTCTCCCCATGTCTCTCCCCATGTCTCTCCCCACGGTCTCTCTCTCCCCGTGTCTCTCTCTCTCTCCCCGTGTCACTCTCTCCCCGTGTCTCTCCCCGCGGTCTCTCTCTCTCCCCGTGTCTCTCTCTCCACGTGTCGCTCTCTCCGTGTCTCTCTCTCCCCCTGTCTCTCTCCCCGTGTCTCTCTCCCCGTGTCTCCCCGTGTCTCTCTCTCCCCGTGTCTCTCTCCGTGTCTCTCTCCCCGTGTCTCTCTCTCCCCGCGTCTCTCTCTCCCCGTGGTGTCTCTCTCTCCCCGTGTCTCTCTCCCCGTGTCTCTCCCCGTGTCTCTCTCTCCCCGTGGTGTCTCTCTCTCCCCGTGGTGTCTCTCCCCCCCCGTGTCTCTCTCTCCCCGTGGTGTCTCTCTCTCCCCGTGGTGTCTCTCTCTCTCTCCCCGTGTCTCTCCCCATGTCTCTCCCCGTGTCTCTCCCCGCGTCTCTCTCTCTCTCCCCGTGTCTCTCTCTCCCCGTGTCTCTCTCTCCCCGTGGTGTCTCTCTCTCCCCGTGTCTCTCTCTCTCCCCGTGTCTCTCTCTCCCGTGTCTCTCTCTCTCCGTGTCTCTCTCTCCCGTGTCTCTCTCCCCGTGTCTCTCTCTCCCCGTGGTGTCTCTCTCTCCCCGTGTCTCTCTCTCCCCCCATGTCTCTCCCCGTGTCTCTCTCTCCCCATCTCTCTCTCTCTCCCCGTGTCTCTCTCTCTCTCCCCGTGTCTCTCTCTCTCTCCCCGTGTCTCTCTCTCCCCGTGTCTCTCCCCGTGTCTCTCTCTCCCCATCTCTCTCTCTCCCTCCCCGTGTCTCTCTCTCTCCCCGTGGTGTCTCTCTCTCCCCGTGTCTCTCTCTCCCCATGTCTCTCCCCATGTCTCTCCCCGCGGTCTCTCTCTCTCCCTGTGTCTCTCTCTCCCCATGTCTCTCCCCGTGTCTCTCTCTCCCCATGTCTCTCCCCGTGTCTCTCTCTCCCCATGTCTCTCCCCGTGTCTCTCTCTCCCCATGTCTCTCCCCACGGTCTCTCTCTCCCCGTGTCTCTCTCTCTCTCCCCGTGTCTCTCTCTCCCCGTGTCTCTCCCCGCGGTCTCTCTCTCTCCCCGTGTCTCTCTCTCCCGTCTCTCTCTCTCTCCGTGTCTCTCTCTCCCGTGTCTCTCTCTCCCCGTGTCTCTCTCTCCCCGTGGTGTCTCTCTCTCTCCCCGTGGTGTCTCTCTCTCCCCGTGTCTCTCTCTCTCCCCATGTCTCTCCCCGTGTCTCTCTCTCCCCATCTCTCTCTCTCTCCCCGTGTCTCTCTCTCTCTCCCCGTGTCTCTCTCTCCCCGTGTCTCTCCCCGTGTCTCTCTCTCCCCATCTCTCTCTCTCCCTCCCCGTGTCTCTCTCTCTCCCCGTGGTGTCTCTCTCTCCCCGTGTCTCTCTCTCCCCATGTCTCTCCCCATGTCTCTCCCCGCGGTCTCTCTCTCTCCCCGTGTCTCTCTCTCCCCATGTCTCTCCCCGTGTCTCTCTCTCCCCATGTCTCTCCCCGTGTCTCTCTCTCCCCATGTCTCTCCCCACGGTCTCTCTCTCCCCGTGTCTCTCTCTCTCTCCCCGTGTCTCTCTCTCCCCGTGTCTCTCCCC